CACAGGTATGGTAAGGATTGTGGACAGTGGAGTCAGAGTGCACATGCGTGGGGTTCCATCTCACATTGGTCTTCAGAGCATGATAGAACTGATAAATTGGCTAAGCTGTATGCTTTCAAAGAGGGAGTAGATTACAATCCCTTTGGGTTGTCAGTAGTAGTTTGAGAACAATAATACGAAAAGAACTTCAGCTGAATTTTATGGACTTAAGGCTCAGGGAGATTGGACACCAGTGAGTCCATCTATCATCATTCTATCATGCAGGAGGAGCCACATGTCTATGGTGCTCCAACAAATAAGCAGACTCTTGGATGTCACTACCGCCCGGCTCCGGCTGGATTACAAGTATCTTTGGCAGGTTAAATCACAACCACCAGAAAGTAGACCAAACGAAATGTAAACTTTGCCAGATGGATTATTGTCACACCTTGCGTCCATTATGTACTGGAGTGTGATAAAATTAATGAATTTAGAAACAACTCACTCAGAAGTGTTCAAGAAATGGCTAAGTATTTTATCCACAGTGTATATTACAGACCATTCTGGAGAAAATACCCTGACTTTGCTACTGTAAATAAAGCATTACCACATATGTGCATTGTGTGTGTGTGTGTGTGTGTGGTGTGTGTGTGTGTGTGTTTTGTGTGTGTGTGTGTGTGTTGTGTGTGTGTGTGTGTGTGTGTGTGTGTGTTTGTGTGTATGTGTGTGAGTGTGTGAGTGTGTGAGTGTGTGGTGTTTTGTGTGTGTGTGTTGTGTGTGTGTGTGTGTGTGTGTGTGTGTGTGAGTATGAGTGGGTGTGTGTGTATGAGTGTGTGTTGTGTGTGTATGAGTGTGTGTGCGTGTGTGTGTATGAGTTTGTGTGTGTGTGTGTGTTTGTGGTGTGTGTGTGTGTGTGTGTTTATTTTGGTGTGTGTATGAATTTGTTTTGTGTGTGTGTGTGTGTGTGTGTGTGAGAGAGAGAGAGACTCAGCAATCAACATTTGCACCAATAACTCACTACAGTTTTTGACCGGGTTGGGAAGTTGTGAATTGCTCATTACTCAAAATTTGTTCATGATTGCAGCCATGTATAAACGTAATAACCATTCTTACAGTATTCATTACCTTTGTAACTTGTGAGTTCATTACCTTTGTAACTTGTGATTCATTACCTTTTACTAGTTTTAGGGCCCTCAAAACTTTGGAGCCGTCCCTGGACCCATTGTGTACCTCTGTAATCCCGTAAATACCTTTGTAACTTGTCATGATTGTGACTAGACCTACCTGGAGTTCATTACCTTTGTAAATTGTGAGTTCATTACCTTTGTAAATTCTGAATTCATTACCTCTGTAACTTGCTCAGCTATCAAAACTTTGAGGCCCAGTCCCTGGACCAATTATGTACCTCTGTAATCTTTTGACTACCGCCCACAGGATGGGTATGGGGTGCATAATAAACATATTAAACTAACTAACCAGAGGGCTGAGGAAGGGTTCTTGAGGTGGTTCGGACATGTAGAGAGAATGGAGCGAAACAGAATGACTTCAAGAGTGTATCAGTCTGTAGTGGAAGGAAGGCGGGGTAGGGGTCGGCCTAGGAAAGGTTGGAGAGAGGGGGTAAAGGAGGTTTTGTGTGCGAGGGGCTTGGACTTCCAGCAGGTATGCGTGAGCATGTTTGATAGGAGTGAATGGAGACAAATGGTTTTTTAATACTTGACGTGCTGTTGGAGTATGTGAGCAAAGTAACATTTATGAAGGGGTTCAGGGAAACCGGCAGGCCGGACTTGAGTCCTGGAGATGGGAAGTACAGTGCCTGCACTCTGAAGGAGGGGTGTTAATGTTGCAGTTTAAAAACTGTAGTGTAAAGCACCCTTCTGGCAAGACAGTGATGGAGTGAATGATGGTGAAAGTTTTTCTTTTCGGGCCAGTGTGATAATAAAAATATATATATATATATATATATATATATATATATATATATATATAATATATATATATATATATAATATATAATATATATATATATATAATATATATATATATACAAAACAACCACTTGTGAAAGAGTAGTGAATTCCAAGCGCTTTCGTGACTTCTCACATTGTCAAGGAACTATGACAATGTGAGTAGTCACGGAAGCGCTTGGAATTTCACTACTCTTTCACAGTGGTTGTTTTGCATATTTTAAAATCACCTGTTTACTGTGATCTTATTGCATGCATATATATATATATATGTATATATATATATATATATATATATATATATATATATATATATATATATATATATATATAAATATATATATACATATATATATATATATATATATATATATAAATATATATATATAATATATATATATATATAATATATATATATATATATATATATAATGTCATGCCGAATATGTAAAACTGGTCAATTAGCAAAAACTCATTTAAAATTAAATCCTTTCTGAAATTTTCTCTTATACGTTTAAAGATATATTTTTTTTCATTAATGTTGATGTAAATATTTTTAATTTTGCACCAAAAGTATCTTAGAAAACTTACCTAACCTTATTATAACAAGAGTAATTTATTTTAGCCTAACCCAACTAAATATATTTTAAATACGTTTACAATAATTTAGTACTAAACAAACACAATCAAATATATTTTTTTCGTTAGGTTCAGAATGATTTTGGCGAAATTATTACATACACAAATTTTCACTTGTCCTACATGGCAAGATGAGCGTTGCTATTTAAGCCAAGATCGCAAATTCTGCCTATTCGGCACGACATATATATATATATATATATATATATATATATATATTATATATATATATATATATATATATATATATATATATATATATATAATGTCGTGCCGAATATGTAAAACTGGTCAATTAGCAAGAACTCATTTAAAATTAAGTCCTTTCTAAAATTTTCTCTTATACGTTTAAAGATATATATTTTTCATTAATGTTAATGTAAAAAAATTTAATTTTGCACCAAAAGAACCTTAGAAAACTTGCCTAACCTTATTATAACAAGCACAATTTATTATAGCCTAACCCAACTAAATATATTTTAGATTTGTTTCCAATAATTTAATACTAAACAAACACAGTGAAATATATTTTTTTGTTAGGTTTAGAATGATTTTGGCGAAATTATTCCATAAACAAATTTTCGCTTGTCCTATATGGCAAGATGAGCGTTGCTATTTAAGCCAAGATCGCAAGTTCTGCCTATTCGGCACGACATACATATATATTTAGCGCTGCCTGAGAATCTTGACCATCCCTAGTACTAGTTTCGAATGCTGCTGACTGCGTTCTTTTTTTATATACATATATAAGGTCACATTGAACAGGTGATTTCAGAATATGCAAAACAACCACTGTGATAGAATAGAGAAATTCCATGCGCTTCCGTGACTACTCACATTATCAAGGAACAATAAAAATAATGCATCAGAGGAAGGCATATAAAGGGTCTAGACCACACCTCACTATCACATCCCACAACAAAGCAACACCTGACGCGTGACTCATAAGAAAAGGAACACTTTTTTAATAACCAGATTTTCAATTAATCTGACTGTAGACAGCTTATTAGCAATAATTTTCATGACAAAAAGATAATTAGTGTTTCGAGGGCTGATGTTTGTGCTTCTTCTAAGTGATCCAGCGACTGTCCACCTCTCCTTACAGCACACGATAGACATCTTACAGCACACGATAGACATCTTAGAGCACACGAGAGACATCTTACAGCACACGATAGACATCTTAGAGCACACGAGAGACATCTTATAGCACACTATAGACATCTTAGAGCACACGATAGACTTTAATCCGCCTTTTCGCCAGTATGTGCTGAAGGGTTCTGCCACTTTATATATATTTTTTCTGTCACTTTCAGTGGCCTCCATTAAATGGTCCTAACCAAAACATCACCGAAAATGTCCCTGAAGACGTTTGCCACAGCAATGGCCTAATTTAGTGAGGCCATTTCACCGTCTCTGTAGTTTCAAAACTCAAATCAATAAACTATAGAATCTAGGGATAGATTTATCTAATAAAAATAATTATATTGAAAAGAGGTAGTTTAGTTTAGGTTAGGTTACGCTAGACACCTGGGTGCTGTTTACCTAGCAATATCTAGATACCCGGGTGCCGTTAACCTAGCAGTAACTAGACACCTGGGTGCTGTTTACCTAGCAATATCTAGATACCCGGGTGCCGTTAACCTAGCAGTAACTAGACACCTGGGTGTTGTTTACCTAACAGTAGCTAGCTAATCTGGAAAGACAAGTAAGCAAACACAGTTTATCAGAAATTGTTTCGGTCCTGTCACTTTCATTACTTCCAACCCACACAGTGGTTAAACAAGACAACATATATAGGAGAAGAGTGAGGTGTGAATGCTCGTGTACCGTCGCTATGAGCATCCTGGGGACTGGAACGATAGTATAACCTTAGATAATACTAGACTTTGAAGTGAGCTGAGGTACGATAATTGCTGCTCATCCGCAAAAACACAGTAAAAAAAATTCAGAACGCATCGTTTTCTTTAATATAAGGCATGTGTTAAGTGGTTTAGAAAAACCGACAAGTTGAAGAATGAGGCACTTGGGCAATATTTAGGAATCTTTATTAAGGAAACGTTCCGCCAGCCAGTAGCTTCATCAGCCCAATGAAAAAATGGTTGAATAAGAGGAGTTTGAGGTAATCAGTCCCTCAGCTTCAACTCAACTGACTGCAGTATATAAGCCACTGCTGTGTTGTACTTTCTTCAAGACTGGTGGACTAAACATTGATTCAAGACCGAGGGACTGATTGCCTCAAACTCCTACTCTTTTTCCACCGTTCTTCTTTGTACTGGACTGATGAAACACCAGGCCTGAGAAACGGTTCCTCAATAAAGATTCCTATGTTACACAAATGTCTCATTCTCCAATAAATACATGTGCACAAATATTTTACGTCTCTTCATTTCTATAGGATGTAAGATGAAGTCTGTGGCAGTATATATTTTTTATTATCTTTGTTTATATTTGTTAGCAACAGAACAGTAAAATGATATCCATGTAACAGCTGTCGCAGATATGTGAAGGTTAGATGAGCTTAATCTCAGAGATGCTGAAGTGGAAGAAATTGCAGAGTGAAGATGCTGACTGGTATTTGGTATCTTAAAATGGAGGATGAAGATTAAAGATTGAAGATGCTGGATCTGTGTTTGCTGTTAAGACAGAACAGGTTGCGTGACTGGATGTATGTTTTGTGTCTTCATTCATGGCTATTTCATACTTTTTCCATCGTCCTGTGTCTCGCAGAATTCGTCAACAGAGAGATGACTCGGGGTAGCTGGGGCAGTCCATGTTTATCCGTAGAAACCACCAAAGCCACGACGGAACCCGCCAAAGCCACCAAAGCCACCAAATCCACCGCGATACCTCCAGTGTGGGTCAGCATAGGGGTCCGGGTAAGCCAGGGCGTCAGGGCCGGGCATGGCTAGGGCAGACCCCATCAGGGCGGTCAGGGCCACCACCACAATCAGCAACAGACACAGCTGAAAAAGAGAAAATAAAATGTTTGCACTGTATTTAGTGTGATAGGCAGCAGTTGGGGATATTTATCGTTGAAACTTATCGCCTACACAGAAGGCTTCTTAAACACTTCCTAAGTCTAGTTCATAGACGAAACGTTGCAAGGAAAAACAGACCCAACTGTTGCACATGTGTTTTGCTCACCGACTTGTCAGTATTGCCAATACCATGTATGTACAGGAGTACCTCACTTTACAGCGCTTTGCTTTACAATGTTTCACTAATACAGCAGTTTTCAATTATACCCATTCTTCATTTCTTCAGACTTCCTACAAGCTAAGGACAAAAATATTTTAAGATAAGTAATATGTGTACTGTACATACATTTTTTAGGCCTAACTCTATTGGTCACTTAATATCATAGTGTAAACATGTTATCAGGCTTTTATATGCATTTAAAAGTGACAAAAAGATTATGTTTCACTTTACAGCGATTTTCGTTTTGCAACAGTAGCCCAGAACCTAACCTGCTGTATAAGCGGGATCCTACTGTATTTCGGCTCTGTTGTATAAGAGGTTATTATTGAAGCATAAATAGAAAGTATGTGTGTGTTCATTTATTTGATGAATAACTTACACCTTCATGAGGTAACTATAAAGAAAACAGCATCACAAACTCGTAAGACAACATTCCCAAAGTGTTTTGAAGATCTCTCCTCGATTGATATGATAAATCTATAAAGAAAATTATATAACAGTAAAAAAATATGTGTATCAAAGAGGATTAGGGTGTGTGATTACCGGGTATCATAACAAATCGTGTTAGTTAATACCGTGACTGGAATAATACACAAATAACCTGCACGTAAGAGAACGAAGCTTATGACAACGTTTCTGTCCGACTTGCATCATTAACTAGTGACACGTGAATGGTGTTTAAGTTGGACCGAAACACCGCCATGAGTTTCATTCTCCTACTTGCAGGTTATTTGTGTACGGCTGTGTACCTATCCCTTACCCTTTCCTTGGGTCGAACCTAATGGTTTCCAGTCGGTCATGCACAGGATGACCCAGATACTTTTAGATCTCTCCTCTTATCATGCTAATGTATATTGAGGAACGTAAGATAGAATCTTTCATGAATCACAGTTAGGTAAGACATGACTCACGAAACTGTAATGACACGATTGCAAACAAGCCATACCAAGGGCGGGAACAGAACCCGCGATCATAGAGTCATAAAACTGCAAACCGACGCCCTAACCTTCCTATTGTGTATAAATATACCTAGTTGAACGAATCTTGTTGTAGCTAGCTGGCCCAGTGGCTAGCGCATCGGTCTAGAGTTTCATGACTCTCTGATCGCTTGTTCTGTCCCCGCCCATGATATGGAGAGTCCGTCAGTAAGTCCACAGCCTGAAGATGCTTATAAAGAGTTAACTAGTTTATGAGGACCAAGACCCATCACTTCTCGAGAGTCACTAAGAACACAATCCAACCTACACTACCATCAAGGATACTTTAATCCCGTTGCCAGACTGCTAGGACACTCAGCTCACACACTGTGTTCCGTGATATCAATCCCCGGTACGGGTGGAAACATTCGGGCGTGTTTCCTTAAGACACCTGCTGTCCGTGTTCATCTAGTAGTAAAAATAGGTACCTGGGTGTTAGCCGACAGATTTGGGTCGCATCGTGGAGACAAAACTAATCTATATTGCCCAAAATGCTCCGCATAACAAATGGCTTTCTATATAGTATGTCACTGATGTCAGTCATGGTCTGTACATGTTTTACATGCACTTGTAGAAATAAAGATTATTATTATTATTGTTCTAACTATATGGACGCAACAAACTCTCAGTATGACTCACGAAATCGTAACGACACGGTTGCAAAGAAACCATACCACGAGCGGGGATAATACCCGCGATCAGAGAGTCATAAAACTCTAGACCAGCGCGCTAACCACTGGGCCAGCCAATTGACCAAGTAGCTAACGCGTCGGTCTGGAGTTTTATGACTGATCGCGGGTTCTATCCCAGCCCGTAGTATGGTTTGTCTGCAAACTCTCAGTATTATATGCCGACAGATACACAACCCTGCGCGTTTACGTAAACCACGTACAAATGCATCTTTCAAGACAGGGAATGAAGTAAACTCAGAGTGCAACACGCAGAAAGACAGATAAACAACACTCCCCGAGTGTCCACATATCGTGTACTCACAGCTTTCATGTCGCCGGCTGCGATAAAGTCGAGACGAGAGAGAGAGAGGAGCTTCTCTTCACGTTGGCTATGTAAACCTTGCCAGCTGCAAGCCTTTATATACCCTCCCAGGAAACACCATTACAAGCTCGGCTCCTCCTTACACGGGGGTTTTTCCATACTCTTCAAACCAGTTCTAAGCTCCTAACCATTTGGGAAGAAAAAAAAATGCCTTTTTTTATGGTCATAAAATTACGTTTGAAAACACGTGTTATGTATCGAAAAATATTCGTGTTGTTTTTTCATCGTAGCTTAATCAAATTAGGTATTTTGTGCTCTTGTATGAGCCTGACAAAAGCATCAATAGCAACAATAACAGCAATAACAATAACAACACAGCAACTATAACAACAACAGCAAGCCAAAAAAATAACAGCATTAACAAAAAAGTATAATAACAATAACAAAATACAATAACAAAAGCAATAAGAGTGATAACAAGGCTCAGGCTGAGGTTATTAGATCCTCCTCCAGCATTAGGGGAAGTCGCTGGATATTTTTTCCTTTCTTCTTTCTCTTTGACGTTATTTCTCTCACAACTCGAGACCGGCTTTATAAAGCTCCAGGAGAGCAAAACGTTGCCACAGTAAAATGTCACATTAGTTGAACTTGTGTCCTTTTACCTAACATTGTCGGCAATTCTACCAGAATTAATACACGTTCAATATACTTCAGTTTATCTCTTATGAGAGGTTTTAATATTTATTGGCTGATGCATCTTAAGACCAGGATAATGTGCTGTTAAGTCTCGAGCAAATACAAAAGTCACAACATCGTGCCTGGAACAATGCACAAATAACTCGCACATAGGAGAGAAAAGCTAACGACGACTTTGTAAATGTGAATTTGCAAATGGTTTTCTCTCTCCTATGTGCGGGTTATTTATATGTTGTTCCAGTCTAGAGATGTATCGGATGTGAAAATTTAGATATCCGAGGATGCGGATGTGTATGAGGATGTCTTACTTATTTTGCGGATGCGGATAAGAAATTGTGCGGATGTTGATGGGGATGTAAGAAATTGTGAGGATGTTCCGGGGATTCGGATGCGGATGCATATGCGGATATCTGTTTACAGTAAAATGCGGATACAGATGAAGATGTAAGAAATTGCGAGGATGTTCTGCGGATGCGGATGCGGATCTCCGATACATCACTATTCCAGTCATGGTATTGTGCCTTTTTAATTTTTATTTGGTTACCCTAGGTTAAATTAACTTAATGTTCTATGTGTCTATAATATCCTTATTCACTTAAGATCATTAAGGACATACTACTTGGCTTACATTAAACAAACGCACTTACTTTTCTTGTTATAGAAACTGGTCAGTCTTAGTTATAGATAAATTGATTTTTAGCCTGTGTAGATCACAGTTCTCTTCTTTTTATTGAAGAAACTCGAAAACTTGAAATATAACTTTACACGCGATAATTTCTGAGTGTCGCAGCTGATTACCTTCAAGTCTTTCATGCACACAGCCTGATAATGTAACATTTAGGCATCTTCAAAGTCACAATAAAAGGTCTGAATTAGATTTGGATCGTGAACGTCTTAATTTACAATTTTAGAGGAATCTGGATATCGGTTTAAATGTGATGACTTGTGAAGGCCTCATCAGATTTTCTTCAGATTTTCGACACTAACTACATTTTCAACTTATGCTGCTCTCTGCACTACTCCAGTGGCAGGCAATGTATTCCATAACATACCTTCCTCGGATCGTACAACCACTAAAACACATCACATTTAGTTTATAAATATCCTACAGCATTTTGGGTTGTAATATATATAAATATATATATATATATATATATATATATGTATATATATATATATAATATATACATATATATATATAATATATTATATATATATATATATATATATAAATATAACATATATATACATATATATATATAATATATATAATATATATATATATATTTATATATATATATATATATATATATATATATACCAAGAATCAAAACTAGTTGGATAATTACCAGTAATGTACTTCAGAGGCTTAACCCCTTGAAGGAAGTGCCTGGTGTTTGTGAAGAGTTCTTCATCCAAGGCAACGAATCAGTCTTCCCTTACTTGGATTGAATTTGGTGTTTTTCAATCCCCCTCCCTCCCCCACTGAGCAAAATGATTATTAACATTAAAAATTATTTAGAGACATAATATGGTTGGAAGTTTTAGGAAAACTCTGTCAGTCAAAACATGTTTCTCACAGTTTTTAAACAGAGAATCTCTCATTAGGTTTATGACATGAACTTAAGGTTAAAAGTTTTCCACGTAATCAAGCTTAAAATCCCTCACAAGTTCTATCCCAAGATCTATCACAAGATCTATCACAAGATCTATCACAGGATCTATCACAACACGGGAGTGGTTAGGACCACAATCTAACTTACATTAACATCAAGGTCACTTCATTCTCAAAAATAAGTGTTGACTCACAAACACTGTACTGGCATCACTCAACACTGTGCTGGCATCATTCAACACTGTGCTGGCATCATTCAACACTGTGCTGGCATCATTCAACACTGTACTGACATCACTCAACACTGTACTGGCATCACTCAACACTGTACTGGCATCATTCAACACTGTACTGGCATCATTCAACACTGTACTGGCATCATTCAACACTGTACTGACATCATTCAACACTGTACTGGCATCACTCAACACTGTACTGGCATCATTCAACACTGTACTGGCATCACTCAACACTGTAATGGCATCATTCAACACAGGAATTAAAGTTATCTCTTACTGCCAACACACTGACTAATTAACAACCCGCGGGTGTTCAGTAGTCGTCGTGTGTTCGTTACTGCCATGTTGTTGGTAACAAATCGTGTTGTTGCAGCCGCCCATCACAGCCTCGCTCCGCCCATCACCTGGACTCCTCACACTCACAAAAGAGGTTCATTGCTGCGTAGCATCGAGGGTTCCAAGTTGACTTTATTTTATGTATAGGAACATGTCGTAAATTAAGTTTAAAGTTCGAAAAATAATAATGTTTTTACGGTTCTCAGAACTTTTTCTTATGTTGTGTATCGGATATTTATCAGTTTTCATTAACCATTACGACGACAATCACACTAAGAACAACACTAACAACAGCAACAATAACAACAAAACACTAACAACAACAGACACAATAACAACAACAGCACCAACAGCTATTCTTTTGTAGAATACAATTAATTCAAGGTACTGAGTCTTGTATTTTTTAGTACAAAATTTTTTATTAGTCCTTGTATAAAGGTGCAGTTCATAGATGGAACATTCATTGAATATATTGGTGTCCCGTAACTCGGTAGCTGCACTCAGCTCTCACAACTGAGGTCCATGGTTCGATCCCCGGTACGGGAGAAAAAATTGGGGCATGTTTCCTTAAGACGCCTGCTGTCCCTGTTCACCTAGCAGTAAGTAGGTACCTGGGTGATAGTCGACTGTGTGGGGACAAAATTAACCTAATTTGCCCTAAATGATCTGCATTTCCTGGTCACAGACCGGGCAGCGGGGGCTTTGACCCCCGAAACCTCTCCAGGTATACTGTAGGTATATCAAGGGGCTTTCTATATAGTAGTGTTACTGATGTCAGTTATGGTCTGTATAAGTTATATCATGTACCTGTAGAAACCAAGATTATTATTATAATTATTATTACTATTGTTATTATCGTCATCATCATCATCATAATAATAATAATAATAATAATAATAATAATAATAATAATAATAATAATAATTAATCCATATACAAGATATATCCAGGAAACAGGATGCTGAATCTGAGAAGGACCTGCCTAGCACGGGTCAGTAAGCTTGCTGCAGTATACCTTCGTCCTTACTTTGTATGGTTCTAATGCAAGAAATAACTAGGATGAGGCAATAACTATTTATGTATGTCATCAGATCTAAGACGTAACTGACTCGGTTCTAGGATGATCTATGTTGACATTCATAGGTTGAAATACAACCTCTTCGTCCTCTCTACTTAAGGTTCACTGCCTTTCAAGAATGTGGGAGGATTTAGCATAAAGGGAATTACCAACAGACCTCTGCCTGCCTTCAAGACCCCTGGCTGCCTTCAAGACCCCTGGCTGCCTCCAAGACCCCTGGCTGCCTCCAAGACCCCTGGCTGCCTTCAAGACCCCTGGCTGCCTTCAAGACCCCTGGCTGCCTTCAAGACCCCTGGCTGCCTTCAAGAATCCTGGCTACCTTCAAGACCCCTGGCTACCTTCAAGACCCCTGGCTGCCTTCAAGACCCCTGGCTGCCTTCAAGAATCCTGGCTACCTTCAAGATCCCTGGCTGCCTTCAAGACCCCTGGCTGCCTTCAAGACCCCTGGCTGCCTTCAAGACCCCTGGCTGCCTTCAAAACCCCTGGCTGCCTTCAAGACCCCTGGCTGCCTTCAAGACCCCTGGCTGCCTTCAAAACCCCTGGTTGCCTTCAAGACCCCTGGCTACCTTCAAGACCCCTGGCTGCCTTCAAGAATCCTGGCTACCTTCAAGACCCCTGGCTGCCTTCAAGACCCCTGGTTGCCTTCAAGACCCCTGGCTACCTTCAAGACCCCTGGCTGCCTTCAAGACCCCTGACTGCCTAAAAGACCCCTGGCTGCCTTCAAGACCCCTGGCTGCCTTCAAGACCCCTGGCTGCCTTCAAGACCCCCGGCTGCCTTCAAGACCCCTGGCTGCCTTCAAGATCCCTGGCTGCCTTCAAGACCCCTGGTTGCCTTCAAGACCCGTGGCTACCTTCAAGACCCCTGGCTGCCTTCAAGACCCCTGACTGCCTAAAAGACCCCTGGCTGCCTTCAAGACCCCTGGCTGCCTTCAAGACCGATGGCTGCCTTCAAGACCCCTGGCTGCCTTCAATACCCCTGGCTGCCTTCAAGACCCTCGGCTGCCTTCAAGACCCCTGGCTGCCTTCAAGACCCCTGGCTGCCTTCAAGAATCCTGGCTACCTTCAAGACCCCTGGCTGCCTTCAAGACCCCTGACTGCCTAAAAGACCCCTGGCTGCCTTCAAGACCCCTGGCTGCCTTCAAGACCCCTGGCTGCCTTCAAGACCCCCGGCTGCCTTCAAGACCCCTGGCTGCCTTCAAGACCCCTGGTTGCCTTCAAGACCCCTGGCTACCTTCAAGACCCCTGGCTGCCTTCAAGACCCCTGACTGCCTAAAAGACCCCTGGCTGCCTTCAAGACCCCTGGCTGCCTTCAAGACCCCTGGCTGCCTTCAAGACCCCCGGCTGCCTTCAAGACCCCTGGCTGCCTTCAAGATCCCTGGCTGCCTTCAAGACCCCTGGTTGCCTTCAAGACCCCTGGCTACCTTCAAGACCCCTGGCTGCCTTCAAGACCCCTGACTGCCTAAAAGACCCCTGGCTGCCTTCAAGACCCCTGGCTGCCTTCAAGACCGATGGCTGCCTTCAAGACCCCTGGCTGCCTTCAATACCCCTGGCTGCCTTCAAGACCCTCGGCTGCCTTCAAGACCCCTGGCTGCCTTCAAGACCCCTGGCTGCCTTCAAGACCCCTGGCTACCTTTAAGACCCGTGGCTGCCTTCAAGACCCCTGGCTGCCTTCAAGACCCCTGGCTACCTTCAAGACCCCTGGCTGCCTTCAAGACCCCTGGCTGCCTTCAAGACCCCTGGCTGCCTTCAAGACCCCTGGCTGCCTTCAAGACCCCTGACTGCCTTCAAGACCCCCGGCTGCCTTCAAGACCCCTGGCTGCCTTCATAGCCCCTGACTGCCTTGAAGACCTCTGGCTGCCTTCAAGACCCCCGGCTGCCTTCAAGACCCCTGGCTGCCTTCAAGACCTCTGGCTGCCTTCAAGACCCCTGGCTGCCTTCAAGACCCCTGGCTGCCTTCAAGAGGGAGCTGGACAGATACCTGAAGTCAGTGCCCGATCAGGCGGGCTGTGGTTCGTACGTTGGATTACGATGCGGCCAGCAGTAACAGACTACTTGATTAGGCTCTGATCTATTGGGAAGCTTGTTCAAGGACTGGGCCGCTGGGCCGTTGACCCCCGGAGCACCCTCCAGGTAGGAGGGTGTTCCGGGGGTCAACGCCCCCGGAACAAGCAATTCGAAATCTTTCTTTCAACGTCCAAATTTAGCTTATTTTCGATAGCCCATTAACAAAGGGGACAAAAGAGAGTGCAAAAATTATAGGGGGATAAGTCTGTTGAGTATACCTGGTAAAGTGTATGGTAGAGTTATTATTGAAAGAATTAAGAGTAAGACGGAGAATAGGATAGCAGATGAACAAGGAGGCTTTAGGAAAGGTAGGGGGTGTGTGGACCAGGTGTTTACAGTGAAATATATAAGTGAACAGTATTTAGATAAGGCTAAAGAGGTCTTTGTGGCATTTATGGATTTGGAAAAGGCATATGACAGGG